AAGCACCAGTATAACGCCTTTTGGGGCGACTAACGGAGCGAGCGAGAGGGTGGGCCTTGCACGTGCGAAATTGCGAGGGGTACCTCCAGCTGACTTGTGCACGGCACCCTACTAACCGGTCTCTAGCGATGTGCCAAATTTGGGCACAATTGGCCCAGCCGTTCTCGAGATCTGGAAGCGGCACCCTGCACGTGCGCACGTGCAAAGTGGGTCCCAACTGACATGTGCACGGCACCCTACTAACCGGTCCCTAACTGTGTACCAAATTTGAGCGCAATCGGTCGAGCCGTTCTCGAGATCTGGAAACGACCCCTGCACGTGCGCACGTGCAGCAGCGCCCCAACTCTGGCACATGGATATGCAGTGCCTAGTGGGTGCCTACCTACATGCCAACTTTCAGCGCAATCGGCCAAGTAGTTACCGAGATATTGCAACAATTACAAAACGGACACCTCTTCGTTTTGCACGTGGCACGTGCATAAGGGGTCACCCACATGCATCAGGAATAGTCCAATACTTGGTAGAAGGAATGAAGCTACCCTACAAAAATTACCGCGTGTAAATCGGTCAAGTGGTTGCTGAGATATAAGCCTCGCAAAAGCGTGACCACGGCCGGCCGGCCGGCCGGCCGGCCGGCCGGCCGGCCGGCCGGCCGCTCATACTCAGAAATTTCCGTTAATCTAAGGAAAGACTACGCTCGCTTCGCTCGCTCCGTAATAAGGACAGGTTGAGGTCAACATTGAACAAGCTATATATCGCTGGTAAAATGAAAAACTAACATGCTCGTTTGCGTCATACTTGCCTATACCTAGTCATGTAGGCATTCCGTATTTTTAATGAATAGGGCTGTAAATACCAACCTACCTTGTAGGTATACAATGTAGGACATAATTCCCGTAATTTTCATTTCAATCAAATGAGATTGGACCAGTGTCAATCCGATCATCAAAGGATAGGTATGACAATAAGTGAACATCCGTGGTCATTTCATACGTTTAATTGAATATGCAGACGAAATGGCATTGTTGTTTTCACGTCATTTTTGTCATTGACAGATACGGAGCCTTTAACTAAACGGGCTTCGTTTCTTCCATCTACATAGTTAAATCAGGCCAACTACAAGGGACGCCGGGAAGGAGTTTGCGAGTTGCGACATTCGCTGGGTCAAACACGACATATGTAGAAAGCCTTCTTCACGCGCCTTCAGATTTCTGGCATGGCCGAAGGAAGCACGCTAAGCTCATCAAAGCCGCTCATTTATCAAACAGGGCAAGTGAACCACTCGCTTCCCGCGTCAACCACTGAGCCTGGTCGTGAGGCTACCGCGTCGTGGATAAATGGTCCCGGTCCGCGGATAAGTGGTATCACAGGGCCGGGGAGAAATGGTACCGGATCGTTGGATCGGCTGAAACTGAACAGTACCGGGCCATGGATAAACGGTACCGGGTCTTCGATGAAAGGTACCGGGCCGGTGATAATCGGTACCGGGTCTTTGATAAACGGTACCGGGTCTTTGATACATGGTACAGAGCCACGGATAAACGATACCGGGCTTTGGATAAACAATACTGAGCCATTGATAAACAGTACCGGGTTGTTGATAAACGGTACCAAGCCGTTGATAAACGGTACCAGGCCGTGGGAGCTGACGGAAGTGAACGGTACGTGGCCGAAGACGGTGCCACCGGTGCTCGTGGCCCCCGTGCTGCTGCTCGCGCTGGCCACGCTGGTCTCGCTGGTGCCCGTGGCCGCGTTCACGGGGCGGCGGCGGCTGCGCGGCCGGTGCATGTTCCAGCTGCTAGCTAACCTGGCCGTGTGCGAGCACCTGACGCTGGCGCTGACGCTGCCGGTGGTGGCGCTACGCCACCAGGTGCCGCGGCTGCCGGTGGCCGGCTGCAGCGCGCTGCTGGCCGCCCGCAGCGGCCTCCTGCTGGCAGAGTCCACAGCGCTGCTCTGCATCACCGCCGAACGCCACCTGGCCGTCATCCACGGGCTGCGCTACTTCAGCCTGCTGACGGAACCGCGCCGCCGGCTGCTGCTGGCCGCCCCGTGGCTGGCGGCCGCCGCCGGCGCGGCAGTCTCCGCCACCGGCACCAGCAGCCACGTGAGCCGGCTGGCCAGCCGGCCGGCCTGTCTGTACCTGCGCGCCGTGCCGGCCTGGCTGCGACTCGCCGAGGCGCTCTTCACCATCGCCATCTACCAGGTGATCGTGGCACTGCACGTCATCATCCGTCGCGTGGCCGTGCGGCACTCGCGTCAGATCGCCAGGCAGCGGCTCTCGGTCGGCCTCTCGGCGGAGGGGCCCGAGCGGATGGCCTCCTACTGGGGCGTCTTCAAGGCGATCGGCCTCAACATCGCCGTCACCGTGCCACTGTGCGTCCTCTTCACGCTGGAGAGCGTGGGCCTGCACGTGCCGCGCCGCCTGATCGAGACGTTCGGCGGCCTCTCCCTGCTGCGCAGTATGCTGAACGGATGGATATTCGGGCTGTGGAATGAGGAGCTGCGCAGAGAATATGGCTGGCACTGCCGCTCAGTCGAGCCCTCCACGGCCGATCAGCGAGACGAGGAGATGGCAGAGCGGGGCAGAGTGGTATGCAATTCCGCGACCCGTGGTGAGCTCCCTTTGTCTCCATTGTGTGCCCGCTCTCTGGAGCGCCGGAATAAAAGCGCAAGGGCGCAGAGCAGAGCGCCCCATAGAGTGAGAATAAGGTCGATGTCCTTACCAGGAAATCTGACGTGAATGAATTGTTTACTATGTATCGTTGGTGTATGGTAGATACCATATCGATGTCGAATGGAACTGAATTTGAGTGAATACAAAAGACGAACGTGGTGGGAAGTTCTTGGCCCAGCTGAGATGAAAAATGGGCTACTGCCCCGGCGGCTCGTATCTCATCAGAATCCCTCGCTGCTTGACACATTCACACAAACTATTGAACGGAGCGTGCGCAATGTGGTGATCGCATAGTTGGGAGAGTGCAGTATAAGCTTGATGCGTTAGTGGCTGTAGGTACCGTCGCTGTGTGTCGCATTCGGGAGAGGGGTAGATAATAGCTGGCACCGCTTACAGGACGAGTCTCTCCTTGTCCTTGATTGATAATACAATACAAACCATGCGTCAGCTAGAATCAGTATTAAAACAAGGGCTACATCGGCACTTAGCAAAGAACAATGGTACGATATCGCCTTATATGTATTTACTTGGAAAATATCCATCTCATTAAAATTGCAAATTCCAACACCCGTCAGCCTAACACCACCGTCAAACATCACTGCAGTCGCATTAGCAGAAAGGACTATAACAATAAATATGTCCCCCATTCCGATCAAAGCCCATCCCACGTGAGAACAGCGCTGGCTGGCGACACACGGTATCAGCGCGGTCGGTATTACCCGCTGTCCGGGAGCCGACAGACGGGGTCGACAGACACAGCCGCCGCCAGGTGCCGCCCCACCACTGTCAGAGACGCGGGCTGATCTGGGGTCCGGTCTGCTCCCCCACCGCCCCACCACTGTCAGAGACCCGGGCTGGTCTGGGGTCGGGTCTGCTCCCCCACCGCCCACCGCGCGGTGGTCACAGTCCAAACCGCCAACCGGTCAGTATTCACCCACCGAGAAGTCAGCTAACGCTCACCGACGGGCTAGTATATACCAACCAAGCAACCGGTACACAGTGTGTAATCCCACCCAGCGGTCAGTACACACTCACCCAAAGGCCAGTATACAGACACCAACAGACCAATATACAGTCACCGAGAGACCAGCATACAGCCGTCGACAGGTCAGTATACTGTATACACTCACCTACTGTTAACGCCAGACCCCTTGAGACCCTAATTTTTCGCGATTATTTTTAAATGCGTGGAATAATTTCAACCATATTTAGGAAGTAACTGTTTCAAGACCAGCCGAAACTTTTTCTTCAAATACATTTTGTTGTCACTTAAATATTTGTGGCACTTGTCATTGACTCGTAATGTTAACTGCTTTTCCATCCTGGATAGAGGCTTTCATACGTCATATGACATTAGGCTCCGCCCACGACTGCGGCATTGACCCGTGCCCATCAGCGACCTCTGTACAAACGACACCCCTGCCATCTGTAAAGGACTATGAATTTCGCTGACACTTCACGTGCTATGAATCAATTGCAGCAGACGGTCAAGTAAATGTTAGGTTCTTGTTGACTCTTGTGTATAGGACCAAGAGGACCATCAATCCTCAACCTACTACTCACACGTGCTTCGAACAAACGTTAACGATTCCTAACAAATACGATTTTCGATGTAGGATATCTGTTTGAAATACGAGCGAGCCTTATGATGTGAAGCGAAGGCAATAACTTATTATTGCGTTGTTCGATGGTTGCATAGCGATGTACAAATCGGCAGCTACTTGGTAACATCCGACATCCCATTATCGCATCTGCAACGCCATAGGCTTTAAATACAGGTGAATATTTCCTAACCTAATGTCAGTTATATGTCATCTGCCCGTCATTTGCAGCTTATAAAAAAAAAATGAAGTAAATATCAGCGAACATATCAGCATTGTACAAGCAATGCGCATTGAGCATTTATGGCTCCTCAGTCATCATGTCGCTCTTTGGGCACTGTCAGCCAAGACGTTACGCACAACTCCGCCGGCTTTCGGCGCCGCTCGACCGTCCCTGCTCCCCGCCACAGCGAGAGTGACCGCGCGCCGGCCCGAAACCGCCGCAGGCCAATACCACAGAGGCGGGGCTTAGCTGTGACGTCATAACGTATCACAGGCTGACTGGTGATAGCCTCTACACACTGGGTGAAAATCTTGCTCGAAATTTAACATTACGAGTCAATGAGAAGTGCCTGAAATATTGAAATGGCGATAAAATATCTTAATTGTAAAAGTTTCGGCAGGTCTTGAAACGGCCATGTCCTGAGCTTGGTTGAAATTCTTCCACGCATTTAAAAATAATCGCCAAAAATTAGGGTCTCAAGGGGTCTGGCGTTAACAGTAGTGGTTATCCAACGGCCAACGTGATAGCGTGGTAATTGTCCCACGCCGGGCGCATTTATTGTGATTCGCTCTGCACATTCCAGTCGGACGCCATATTGACGACTGGCGTATAGCCAATATCTGGGGAGGTCTAACCTCTGTGGAATGTGGTCCGTACCGTATCGCGTTTTTCATAGCCTGCCTGTCCATCCCGGCACTCCCGCTGTCGGTACTCAGGAGACGGGTATCTCTCATACCGGCTACACACAGCGCGGCCGGACCGGCATGCAGAGGTTATAGTAGGCGGTCTGGTCCCAGAACTGGCCGTCCTTCCAGCCGCACCAGCCCTTGTTCTGGATGGTGGTGAGGTTCTCCGCGCCCGTGTAGTGCGGGTCCAGCACCAGGAACGACGCCTCGCCGCTGGCCTCGTCGAAGGCGACGCCGAGCAGCGTGTGCGCCAGCACGCCGCCGCCGATCATCACCGGCGTGCCCTCGTCGTTGAAGTGCCGCAGCAGCGCCCGCGCCTTGGAGCCCAGGTCGGCGCCGCTGCTCACGTGTAGGATGCGCGACTCCACGCCGTAAAGGTGCTGCAGGCAGTAGCTGACCTCCGTGGAGCCGATCCACTGGCGAGAGCCGACAAACGACGCCGGCTTGTCGCCGATGTCGACCAGGCACTGCTGGATCTCTCTGTGCGTCGGCGGCGCGCGGCCGGTGTAGCCCTGCCGCTGGAACCACGAGGCCAGGGTCTGCAGCGAGCGGTAGGCGCAGCCCCAGCCGCTGTCGTCCATCCGGTCCTGCATGTAGTGGTGGTAGACGTACGTGCCGCGCACCAGCGCCGTCTGTCCGGCCGTCTGACGCGGCGCCGACAGACCGACGTGCACGTTGGTCAGGAACGGCGACTGGTCGTCGAACCGGTGCCGGTTTGCGCGTCGGAACAGCGGCCGGTCGGCGGCCAGGAGCAGAGCCGCGTGCACGTTCCGCCGGTAGGACTCGAGCTTCTCGTCGTCGGAGGCGGCGCTATAGACGAGTGTCACGTAGTGTCCGCACTCCTCGGGGTTGAAGTGCAGCGGCTCAGCCGGCACTACCCGCTCCTTTTCCCGGTATACGTCTGTGATGACCGTGCGCAGCTGCGCCAGCTGCCGCAGCGCCGCCTCAGAGAGGGCAGCGGCCGCCTGCGCGAGCGGCGCGGCTGCCGCCACCAGCGCCACGCAGCTGATGGGCAGCGTGAGGTCCACCAGCTGCTGTCGGCCGCGACAATACTCGATCACTGGAGCACCGCCGGCCGGTCGGCTCTCCACCAGACCGGTCCGCTGCAGCATCAGTTTGAACAGCGCCTGGGCGCGCCCCGCAGAGCGCCGGCCCGCCAGCTCTGCGCAGCTGCCCTCGGGCGCAGACTCGTCGTCCTGCGCGCGCAGCAGTCGGTTCGCCTCCGGCTGGACGAAGCAGGTCACCGGTGAATCGAGCGTACGTTTCAGCCGGTCAAAGGCCTCTGCCAGCGGCTCGCAGCCGGGCTTGCAGCGCAGCGACAGCGCTCCCTCCAGGCGCAGCAGCACGGTCTGTGCGCGCAGCTGCTCGGCGCCGAACGTCTCGAACTCGGTGCGCTCCAGCTCGCCGTCGCCGTACAGGAAGACGGCGGCGGTGGGCTCGGGCTCCCCCTCGCCCTCGCCGCCGCTGACGGAGAGGACGACCGCGCGCTGCGCGCCGGCCGGCAGCAGGCTGATGACGGTCGACAGCAGCGCCAGCTCCTCCAGACGGCCGTCACTGTCTCCGGCCACGCCGAGTGGGGACAGGCCGCCGGGCAGCGCGTCCAGCAGCTCGCTGCCCACGCCCGGCGTGCCGCCCTCCACGTGGTCGAGCAGGCAGCCGAGCACGTGAGCCCGGTCGTCGTGCACGAGGCCGACCAGAGTACCGACGTACGGCCGAGGTCCGGCCAACAGCCGCGACAGCAGCGGCGCGTACACTGACACCTTCATGGCGCCGGTCACTGCGAGGACAGCGGCGGAGCAGGGGACGAACTGCGGGTCGGCTGACGAGGCACTGGCAGACAAACCTGAAATAAAGCATAGTTTGTTTAACAACTGAATGGAAAATATAACAGAGGATGTTTAAACTGAAAAGTTGGAAGAGGAGCTTATTTCATTAAAGGGACTATCCCACCTTTAACATGGGGTTTGAGTTGAGATAGCCAAGTTTGCGGCGAGGTTCAGAAACCACTATCTATCTAGGTTGCAACCCCCGCGGCCTCTTGGTGTTGAAGAAATTCGTTCCCTTCATTTGAAAATGGGCCTTGTACAAGGCCCTATCTTCAACATGGAGCGACCGTTAGTGTGACGTCACCTCGTTTAGTCATTCTGATTTAAATGGGTTTGTTCGTTGAAAAATCGCTTAAAACTTGGTCTGAACTTTGTTGTGGTGCCTACAGAGTAAAAAGAATCAGCTTTATGACAGTAATGTGGCATGGGGAAGGAGGTAATTTTGGGCTGTGATGTCACATATTTGAAAGTTTGTGTTTGGAATATGGAAAGCCTAAGATGTTTAATGAAAAATAAATGCCAGAACCGTGTTCCTGGTCATCCAATCTATAAAGTCGGGCACAATTTAACTGGTTTTAAAAACATTTTAGAAGGTGGGATAGTCCCTTTAATAAACAATTTGACACCAACTGTAGTCTGTGTCTTTGTATATTTTCCTTAAAATTGGTCTTTATTAGTTATCAAAAATGTTGAAGCACTATCACTCATCAGAATCAATAAGATTAAAAGTGCATTAATTTAAAAGAAGCACCACATTGTGATCTAGGGAACACAGTTATAAGTGTTGCAATGCTCTCATTTCATATCATCTATTCCTTTCCAACTAGCAACAAAATAATAGATGGTCAGAGCTTGATGAGTGATGACGGATCACCTGCTCAATTTACCAGTGTATTTTTCACCAATTGCAGTGAGAATTTAAGCCTAACCTTCTGTTACACCACATCAAACTAAAAAAAAGATCACTATAATGACTGATGACCATAGTCCTTGCAGCTCATACAATTTCACCCATTGAGGCATCATTGATTTTCATGACAGCTATCAAATACCTACAGAGAAAATATATGGAAAATTGACTTCATTGTTACTCACATGACAAAAATGTCTTAATTGTGCCAACCCAGAAAATCGTAAAACATCTTATCTGCCCCACAACACACACTGACATGAATAAACTACCTAATCCAAATCAGGCCTTGCCAAATCAGGTCGCCAAGCCTTTCACTCCGCATCACCAGACACCAAGAACGAGGGACTAGGGAGTTGGTGCCATGCTACCTGTCCATTTTAGTTTCAGGCGAAGGACATCAACTTATTCTTCATATGATTAAGCTGATATCTTTTTTTTCAGAATAATTCCAGAGGGTCAGATTCGGACAACAGATGTCAAATGTTGCTTTGTAATTACGTGGATGTCTAGGGCCCCTTTCAACGGCTAGTACCTTGATTCCTTGAAAATGGTAGAGGTCAGCGAGGTCAGTATCCTTTACCGGTGATTGATTAAGTTGAAATTGAAATAACCTTACACTGAAGCAGAAAATACTCACAAAATACTCGGCCAAAAGTCCTATACCCCGCCGTGCCAAATGCGTGGCTTGTTTATGGAGACTGCGGCATAGGAATGAAGAATCTGCGCCGTTTCTGTCACATTACCCAAGAGTATTTGTAATGTATTATTATGAATGATTTGTGTTATTATTTTGTTGAGATATCATTGATAGTGTGCCCAAATATAAAAGAAATAGAACAAAATAAAAACGCTTCTTTTTGTCAAATTCTGGTCAAAACTTGGTCTGGTGAGTGGTGACGGCAAAATTCCAAAGGACTGCGAAAGCTTTTTATTTACGTTTTGGTTGGTTGGGCCCGGAGGCATGTTTTTTAATCCCACCCAGAAATAACAAACAAGCTCCCTGATTGGCCAGTTGCCGGCCAGTTGGACTTGAGCGGTCGCGATGGTGGTATAGGGGACTCGGCCGGCATCGTTAGGTGTTGGATTATGTGTTTCGTTGTGCTAGATATTGCCAATTTGCTTTGATTTTTGATAAATAACGTTGGCTCATTCTTTGGTGACCTTGCATACTAATGCGACGATATTTTGATACCGATTATTATGCATCAAACATCATGAGACAAATGTGGCGATTTCCACACCCTTTTGCAGTGCCCCCTCCCCTTGTGTAGTGAGTTAACAGGCTTGTAAGAACCAAGTGAACCATTTTTTAGTCAAGTGGTCATGATCGTCCCTACATCTAATGGATAATAGTCTTGCGCAAACTTATAAAGTACTGGAGGAAGCAGAGGTTACGATTTTGGAGTACGCAAACTTGATATTAAAAAATCTCAGGTATTATGGCTATATAAAGTGAGAAGAAAAGTTCAATTGATCATTTTTTATTACAATTGCAATAATGATAATATCATTATAATTGTACTGTCAGGTATTGATAATAGTCATGTCACGTCATGCCACTAACCAGGCACACAGACACAACACATTTTCATCTTTATGTATCTAGGCATAAGGTATTACAGGCATGTTTTTGCACACCTCTCATGTGCGAGTGGGCATGGCCTCCTTCACAGTTAAGTTTTGGCTGATTGTGCTCAAATTTTGTAAGTACCTACATGTGAAGGGATGTAGATACAGTTAGTCGGGCACTCTTCTTAATTCAGTTTTGTGCACCACTTCCTGCTTCCACCATGCTGTGCCCACTCTGCTTTACAGTGGACGGCTGCTTCTGTGACACGCATTAACCTTGCGTTCATTGAAACACTTAGTTTTGAGTGTTTTGACTCAGTTTTATTTTAACGTTACCTGTGTTTATATTTTCAATAACTTGTTTTGGGCTTCTAATATTTATCTTTTTTTTTGGCTTAGCAGGTTTAGTGTAAAACAAGTTTTAGCTGACATTTTACATGTTAAGATTACATGAGTGCATACATTTTATAAAAGCTATTTCAAAGTACTGTAGCCATGTGTAACATGCATATGTCTTAGTGAATGACAACTCAGCATGCTGCTTGGTGCTCAATGGTAATAGTTTGATTTGTTTTTGACATCAAGTAAGATTTAATTTTTGTTTCTGAGATTCCAATGTTATTTGTGGCAAATATTTTCCAAAAATCCTCCATCTAAAGCTTCAACTGAATTCTAAAATGCCTGCATTTTCTACCAGAAACATTATCATTGATACCTCCTACAATATTTCATTTTGTCACCAGGTACCTGGACTGGTGAAAAGTGAAAACTGAAATTCATTCATGTCACCATTATCCTACGACCTACCCCTAAATGGAATTGATCTTGTTTCACAAATGAGTTGTACATTGTACAATGTCTATCAGCTGATGTCTATTGTCTATATCTCTTTCAGCACAGAAGATCCTCAGTCATAGTTGTAAGGGCAAAATTTAGCGCGACGTGTACGTCGGAGAGGAGCGGCGGGCCGGGGTACCAGAGTGCGTGTAAGGCCAGTCCGCCGTATGATAGCCTCCGGCGGGAAAGGCGTGCCCGCCGGGTGAAAGGCTGCGGCTGGCCGGCACCTGGGACTCGCGGGCCCGTCTCTCGGGGCATTTGCCAGTGCGGTGTCGTCGGGGCAACATCTTTCGGTAAGCGAACTTTTCCCTCCCCCCTAAATTAACGCCGCAGCGCCCAGGCGCTGCGGAAGTCCCCGACAAATGTCCTGGATTTCATTTGGCTTTCCGACCCGCCGCAAATAGCGGTGGGCACCCCCGTTATATCCAGGACAGTCCCATCTAAATTATAATTAATCGGCGCGGCGCGTGGCGTATATGAGTGAGCGATTGTAAGTGTGATGTATATAGTGTGCGTGAGGAAAATGGTCCGAGAGAATGACACTTCGTCCCGCGAGACCAAAATACAATGTAATGGGAATGTGAGCCAAATCTTTCAATGGGGTAAAGGCAGATGCCGGGCTGATACACGGTGAACGTGAACGAACAATCATACGGGCCGCTTAGTTTAATACACCCGGGTGGCAGGCGGGCATTGTAGAGTAACTTTGATTAACGTAATGTCTGTACATGGGGGGAACCATTAAAAGGTTGCCGGTTCCGATGCTTGAAACCCCTATATAAAAATGGTGCACCGCGGCCGGGAAATCTTTCCCATCGGAGGTCAGGATGCCCGAAGTGTTCCTTCCGCCATAATCTGCGGCACGCGACAAGTGTAGTATTCCGCTCCCCGGCACCAGGGCACATTGGTACCCGGGCGTATTTGCCGCTTCCGGGCACGCGGCCCACTGGCCCGTGCTGGCGCAACGGAAGGCCAGCGCTACCCGGGATAAAACGCCGATCGGTCCTGATAATGCCGTGAGGGAGGCCCGGACGGAGCCCGGGTGTCGCAGAGGCGGGGTCAAAGGACATGACGTGGGCGCCGTTCGGCCATTTCCGCTCCCTTGGAGGTGGTTACCGGTCGAGCTGTTCTTACTTTTGGCTTCAATATCTTGTGTAAATCATTGCTTCCGTACTTTTCGTCACGTTCACACGCGTGAATCAGTCCAATTAAGGGGGGCATGGGGGGACAATTTGCCACCGCAATAATGAGAGATGAGAGATGAGGGCAGTCGGTTCGCGCGAGACCGTCGGAGATCGGGGATGAGATCGACGGCGTTCGGCGGTGCGGAAGAGTTCGCTCGGGCGGAATGGAATCCGCTTGTACGCGAGATGAGTGCTCGCGTCGTCGTCGGTCGCATGCGAGCGTGCAGGTTCGCTCGTTCGGCGGAATCATGAGTCCGGTGACGAGCCGTCACCGCTGGTGTGATGGCAACGTGGAGGTCGTCACCGGTGAGTACCGAGGGCCGCGAAATACCCCGGTATTTCAGTGTTACATGTGTGGGCGTATGATTGGATCGTTTAATGTACAGGTATGTTACGGTTGGTGTGATTGAGTTAGTGCGAACAAGGTCATGTGTGGTCACGAAAAGATGCGGAAAATGGAATTTTACTTATTTGTCATCAATTTGCTTTCATGATTAGTAATCAATTTGCTTTCATTCATACACCTGATTTAAATATGTAGCAAATTGCTTGTGTCGTCTGCCATTCACGCCTCATAATGAGACCATAGAGGCTTTAGACATTTCCTTCGATTGCCTGAACAATCGTTTAGACCATAGTGCATTATATCTATAGTCTTAAGTGCAGTGCATCTTTGCTGTGCATATTAATCGTAACTTAAGATGATAACCGGAATGTCCATGGCTTTACAGATTTCATGGGCAATATCGGGGCAATGGAATTGGATCGGGGAAGTTACGATTGGGTGTTTTCAGGCGGAGTTTTTAAGCGGGGATGACGATCCCTCCCGTAAAGCCGTGCACTCAGTGCACCTTGTGGCGCTGACGAGTTGCCATTAGGACGGCATCGAGGTTGTGCGTGCTTAAAGCGGGCAAGCTTAGCTCGGCAGCAAAGCCCTGATTAATTATTACCCCACGTTACACCAAGAGGAGCCGCACATTCTGGCAGCTGCACCTTTTATATCCGGAACCCGATGTCAAGGTCTGGCGCAAGGCGGTGCACGCCGAGCACATTCTCCACTTTTTTTTTTTAATCCAGGGAATGGATTAACGCTTACGGTTCATTGCAATTTCTTCTGATGCAAACGTAAAATGTCTTGTCAAATCTTCAATGTTATGTTCAAAGTAGTTCATTAGTTCGTTCATTCCATGCATTTTTGCGTTGTAATTTTGCTCAAAATGTGGTAGCGATACTCAACTAAGTTCAGTCACGAACCAGAAACAAGTTCTAAACAGCTTTGATTCCAGGTTTAATGGCAACATTTATTAACCAGAAATTCTTCAAGTGGAGCGCTGAGTGTTCAGTCAAATGTGCCCTTATTTAAATTCCATGCTGCATAAGTTCGTATCTTCGTTATATAGAATTACAGTTTATGATTAAATGCATTGAGTAATATCGGATGAACCCAGTGCCCCTCAACCATTTCATGGTAACTCAGTAGGACGGTATCTCTTGGACCATTTTCGGCTTCGAATTGACAGATAATCCGGAATTAATCTTGTAGGATTTTCAATCCTCTCTAAAGTGTTGCCAGGCACTAATCGTCACCTTGCCGTCAAATGGAGCCTAAATCATTTCGTAAAGTAGGAAATTTAATTTGTTCTGTATAGAAGAGCAAAACATGTGTTTATTGGACTTTAAAATGCACACTCGAGGCAAATACATTTGAATCCACGTGGCGCGGATTCTATCCGTCGCGACCGCACACGTCATATTCGAGCCTCCAACCGAAGATGACGCGGCGGGAGGTGACACAAAGCCCTAGTTGTTGAGCCGACTCCGTTCGGGACTGCGCTCCAGCAAATTCAGCAGCACGGGCCCATCCAGTGACTTTCCTGGACGGTTATGGTCTTGGCGCTGCCGTGCGCTGCCACACCAGTAACGGGTGATTTCATATGATGTATAATATAGCATGTGCCACATTGTCAGTTCTCGCGTGTTGTACAATGCATGTTGTTGTGCAGTACGGGTTAATTTACTGTGAAGCACGTGTTGTATTTCATATCATATCCTATTCCTGAGCGGTGTGTGGGTGCCCGGCTTAGGCTTCACCATCATTGGCCCGAGGGCAAATCGGATCCGCCAGCTTGCCGATATCCACCTGCTCAAGCAGACGGGTTGGATCCGACCCCTGTGCTCCCACACCACGCGCACCTGTCAGCGCCGGGCCAGCGCCGCCGACCCGAGCAATTATGGTTCGGTCACCGCGCCGCCCGCGCAAGGGGTGGCAGGTCCGCGGCAGGGCCCTCCCCGACCGTCCCAGAGAAGGGACGCATTCCCATCGTGATGGGATCGCGCCGCCGGCCATGGGATCGAGCCGGTCGCCACGGGTAGGCCACCCACCCGACCGAAGGCGAGAGCCGCCACATGCACGGCCGATCCCAAACGCCTCGGGGCGGGACAACCCGCGCCCCGCAGAGCGAAGGTCCGCCAAGGAGCAGCGGCGAACCGGGCCGATCCGCAATAACAACACCGGAGTCATTGGACTCGCCCGTCGCTGGCCGCCTGCTGCCGAGCACTGCACACCCCAGACGACGGTGGCTTTGTGTTGCCGATTGATTCAAAACCAATGCGGTCATTTTGATGTCTGAACCGTCTGAACGCTCTTTGATATTGACTAGTACATCATCTTGCGGCCATGCTCCATGACATCCATAATTTTGGAAGATAAGACTTATCGTTCCGAAACGGACCAAAACGAGACAATTGAAACCAAAATCAGTCAATGCGTCACCGAAACCTTCTGATTAATCGATATACGGCGCCATGGCCGCCATCATCCTCCTGGAAAGTTGATAGCAAAAAGCGCCTCTTACGGCAACAATTGGCGTAATAGAAAGGGACATTCTTTATACAAAATGTTCGGTTTCATATTCTCAATAAGTGTCCCGGCCATACATATTTAGCAAAGTGAGCGACACGCCAAAACGGGTGTCATTCTTATAAATTCGCCTTCGAACTGCGTGTGGCGTTCTATAAGTTTTGAACATCGATTCGTAATGCACAATTTGCTCCAGGTTTTATCAGAGAACTTATTTGTTTTAACGGCAGCATCAGAGCTGAGGCGAAGGAACTCAGCGCGGTTCCGTCAATGTATCGTCTGCCAGCTAAAATTTGGCTATCAGCAGTTTTAGCGATTTTAGTTTAAGTCGGGTACGGTTGCAATGGTTCTCATGTTATGAGTCTTCATTTAATTTCGTCGGAAAAGCTCCAGGCCCGAGCGCAGTCACCTCGGTGTTGTGTCTCCGTCATGGAAAGGCTCAACAGCCCCCGCACCAGCACCACAGGTGCCGCCGTCCCCAGTCGGTCGGCAGGGTGGGCCGGCGCGCCGCGCCTCGGGCGGCGTCGCCGCGCCGTTCCCGTCACTGGTGACTAGCCGAGTGAAGTGCGTGCCGCGCGGCGCCGCACTGTGCGAAATCACCGCCGAACCCTCCCCACCGGTACCTGGTCCGACTGGATCGGTCCCTGGGCCGATTGGACCGGATACCTGGGTCGGTCGGACCGTCACATGGGCCGACTGGACCGCGTACCTGAGCGAGGGGCTAAGGGTGCTTTCACCGGCCTGTAGGAGCTCGGCCGGGTCACTGGCCCATCACCATCAAAACAAGTCCACCCTCCGCCGTTCGGCTGGCCGGCCGGTAGAGGGGAGATTTGAAGGCTGGACGGGCCACAGCCGGCTCGACCTATATTTACGAAGGTTTATTTAGGAGCGCTCTGCGACGCGAGCAAATATATCTATAACCGTACACATTGGATGGAGATGACTAAAGCAATTTAACTGTTGGGGGAAAACGATTAGGGGAAGTTTTCGTTCAGATTGAAACTTTTGCCGGAGGAGTTTGACGCCCTTTTGAATTTCAACCGCTCATTTATATTATTCCGATCTTTTCGCGCACGAACACGGGAGTGAATGAAAACTCAGCGCTGGCCGCCTGGGATCCGGGTGGGTCCCTAACTCAGCCTGCCAGTGCCAAACAGCCCTTCCCTCCGCCGGTCGGCTGATCTAATCACCCGTCGGAGGGGTGGCCTCTGAGGCGCTGGGAGCGAGAGAGGCACCTCGCCCCTGATCGTTGAGGCAGCGTGGGAGTGCTGCCTTTGGTTATCCTCCCCCGAGGGGAGGATGGCGCAATGGTACCTGACCACCGAGAAATGAATGTTGGATTGATCAGCCGAGTGTGGATGAATGAGTGTTGAAGTAGTGTTTTTGTTATGTGTTCAAACTTCATATGCACATGTCATGTAGTTATTAGTATACGCCGCGTGCGCCGCGAGGAAGTTGCGCGAAAGAGTCGCACGAGAGAGTCGTGCGAGGCAGAGAGTCGCGCGAGACAGAGTCGCGCGAGAAAGAGAGAGAGAGAGAGAGTCGCACGAGAGAGTCGTGCGAGACAGAGAGTCGCGCGAGAAAGAGAGAGAGAGGGTCGCACGAGAGAGTCGTGCGAGAGAGTCGCGCGAGACAGAGTCGCGCGAGAAAGAGAGAGAGAGAGAGAGTCGCACGAGAGAGTCGTGCGAGACAGAGGGTCGCGCGAGACAGAGTCGCGCGAGAAAGAGAGAGAGAGAGAGAGAGTCGCACGAGAGAGTCGTGCGACAGAGTCGCGCGAGAAAGAGAGAGAGAGAGAGAGAGAGTCGCACGAGAGAGTCGTGCGAGAGAGTCGCGCGAGAAAGAGAGAGAGAGAGAGTCGCACGAGAGAGTCGTGCGAGACAGAGTCGCGCGAGAAAGAGAGAGAGAGAGAGAGTCGTGCGATGAAGCGCCCGAGAGCGCCGGTCGGCACGCGAGGGGTGGACCGCCGCCGCGCCGTGGGTCGTGGGGAGGGACGGGGCTGGGGGAGGGCAAGGCAGGCGTTTGATTGTGTTTGTCCGGGCACTGGGGAGGGATGGGTCTCGGGCTGGGGAGGGAATGTGTTTGCGCGGGTGTGGGACGGGGACAATGACCGGGGTTTGGGAGTATGACCGGGGGAGGGGAGTTTAAATGACGAGGGAGAGAGACGACGGACGATGCGGCGGAGGAAAGGAGACGTGACGGAATAAGGGAGCGATCAGATGACAGCAAACGACTGAGCGAGCGAGCGCATGGAAATGTTGGCCCCGAACACATGACCGAGCAAGTGCCAGTCAGGCGCGGAATACCCTATCCGCTGAACATCAAGGTCCGAGGATCACGACGCATTTGCTCAAATCACGTGTTCGCGGCCAATTACTGAGGTATGTTTGGGGCGCACGCGGGAAAAGGGTTATGGACTTGGTGAGGAGGAGGGATGACGGATTGTGAGTGAAAGAGCAGGGTCTGAGACTGATATTGAGACTGAGACAGAGACAGAGACGGAGACAAAGACAGAGACAGAGACGAAGGCTGAACAGAGAGAGTGAGAGAGAGAGAGAGAGTAAGCGATAGAGAATAGAGAGACAGAGAGAGAGAGAGAGAGGGAGAGAGAGAGAGAGGGGAGAGAGAGAGAGAGAGAGAGAGAGAGAAACAGACGAATGAGAGCGGGGAGTGCATGGATGTGTGAGACCACCAGCTAACGTGAGTGGTGGATGTCGGCCCGGTTTTGGGTTAGGCATGCTGTATTACAACTGTGGTTAGACTAGTTTCTACATGGTGGTGGACTGGTTCGAGGTTTCGCTGTCATTAATAAAAATCCACATTCCCATTCAAAATTATCGAACGGTCACAAACCTTTCCCCATAGTGAATGCTGTAACAGATGAAGCGTAATAAGGTAACTACATTTAGTCAGATTTCATGTGAACCGAGGCTGCAAGTGTTAATGATTCAGAAAAATGTATGCCGCAGAGTGTCGCGATGTGTGTATGTGTGTTATGTACGGGCCGGAATGATTGAGGGGAGGGAAAGCCCCTGCTCTCCCACAGGCATGTCGCCCGGTCCGCCGGCCGCCGACCAGGAGCCAGCGGCGACCAAGACCTCGGCCGTACGGGCCGGGCGACGGCGGTGATCCGTTCTCCAACTCGCCGCACCGTACGCCAGCCGCCCCGCCGCTCCCGGCGGCGACTACTGCCGCAGCAAGTCGGGGGCGGTGGGCGCGCGGCCGCCGACCCCGCCGCTCCAGCCGTCTGCCCGGCTGCCCGGAAGCCGCGGCGCCCAAGAGCCGCGGTGGTACGGGCGGCTGCGCTCGGCTGCCGACCCCGCCGCTCCAGCCGTCTGCGCGGCTGCCCGGAAGCCGCGGCACTCAAGAGCCGCGGCGGTACGGGCGGCTGCGCGCGGCCGCCGACCTCGCCGTTCCGGCCGTTCACCTCGCCTCCCGGTCCGCCGCAGCATTCAAGAGCCGCGGCGGGAGGGACGAAGCTCTACCGCCCATCTCGCTGCCCAAAATGCCCGCTGCCCCGCGCCGATCCCGCGGCTACTACTGCCGCGCCAGCTCGGGGCGGCGGCACTCGCCCACGGACCTCCGCCCGCCCGTCTCCAGCGACGATAACGCCCGCGGCAGGACGGGAGCGGCGGCGCTCATACGGCCATCAGGCCGCGCGATCCGCCAGCCGTCCCGTCCAGCCCCCGGCAGTACGGCGGGCGGCGGAGCTCGGCCCGTCTCACCACCGCGCCGGTCAGCAGCCTGCGGCCGCCCCACTGGAAACCGCGGTGCCAATGGCCGCGGCGGTACAGTGTGTGACGGCGGCCGGGCCGGCCGACCTGACGGCCCCGCCGGCTCTGCACGGGCTGGGATACAGCCGAACCACCTGTCGACAGCCGCCCGATCCAGAACCAGCGGCCCGAGTATCCGCGGCAGCATATGGTCGGGCGGCAGCTTCAGGTGCCGGCCGTGCAGAGGCGCCACATGACAGCTCCCGGGGGTCGACGCCCTCCACCGGTGGCGTACCCAGCTGGCGGCAGCGTGACAGGCGGCGGGCACGGCGCACCACCCGCGCACATGAGCCGCCGCCGTCGCCGCCGCCACCGCCACCTGGTGGTTGATCGACGCCCTATACCGGTGGCGTACCAAGCTGGCGGTAGCGTGACAGGCGGCGGGCACGGCGCACCACCCGCGCCAATGAACCGCCGCCGCCGCCGCCGCCACCGCCACCTGGTGGCGCGACCCCGGGACGCCTGGCGGGAGCCGTCCAACTCTGAGGCGGGCTTGGCAGGAGGAGACGGTCGCCACGACACCTAGCGGCGCGCGAGCACGCACCTTACAAACGGGGGCAGTAGCTGCAGCTCGGGAGGTCCCGGACTGTGGCGGTGGCGCTGGGATGAAGGTACGGCCGCCCAAGAAGGCGGCCATCTATCCAGGTGTCCACCGCCCGCCACAACCGGCCATGGGCAGCAGCGTGCGCCCCCGGCAGTGCATCGCGCGCCGCCGTTCGAGGCGGCCTGTGCAGCGCGGATAAACTCAGGGCGGAAAGGAAGGAGCGGAATGAACTCGAGGTGATGCGGGCGAGCGGATCAGTGCGGGTCACGGATTGGAGCGGCGAACAATACGGCAAGCGTGTGATGCGATTGGCAGGAGAACGGACACGGACAATCATTGAGAGGGAGCTGGGGGCTGGGCGATCGAGTGTAATGAACTGATGTAAGTTGGATGTATGTGGTATGAATGAATCAGGCAGGATAATTATTGATATAGACCATAGCGAAAGCTTCACCTGGAGAGTAAGGGGACCCCTTTTTGACCGTTCGAGGGAGGGGGCATTATTATGTAAGGGCAAAATTTAGCGCGACGTGTACGTCGGAGAGGAGCGGCGGGCCGGGGTACCAGAGTGCGTGTAAGGCCAGTCCGCCGTATGATAGCCTCCGGCGGGAAAGGCGTGCCCGCCGGGTGAAAGGCTGCGGCTGGCCGGCACCTGGGACTCGCGGGCCCGTCTCTCGGGGCATTTGCCAGTGCGGTGTCGTCGGGGCAACATCTTTCGGTAAGCGAACTTTTCCCTCCCCCCTAAATTAACGCCGCAGCGCCCAGGCGCTGCGGAAGTCCCCGACAAATGTCCTGGATTTCATTTGGCTTTCCGACCCGCCGCAAATAGCGGTGGGCACCCCCGTTATATCCAGGACAGTCCCATCTAAATTATAATTAATCGGCGCGGCGCGTGGCGTATATGAGTGAGCGATTGTAAGTGTGATGTATATAGTGTGCGTGAGGAAAATGGTCCGAGAGAATGACACTTCGTCCCGCGAGACCAAAATACAATGTAATGGGAATGTGAGCCAAATCTTTCAATGGGGTAAAGGCAGATGCCGGGCTGATACACGGTGAACGTGAACGAACAATCATACGGGCCGCTTAGTTTAATACACCCGGGTGGCAGGCGGGCATTGTAGAGTAACTTTGATTAACGTAATGTCTGTACATGGGGGGAACCATTAAAAGGTTGCCGGTTCCGATGCTTGAAACCCCTATATAGTTAACAAAATGGAAAAAAATTAGCTGTGCTTTTAAGATTCCAGTGGTGGCCATCAACTGCTCAGGAAAGCAGCCCAGAATCACTTCACAACAGGTATGTTGATGCATGTACATTGTACATTGACATCAATGTCGGAATGCTGAAGAATTGTTGAACAGGGAACACATTTACCTAGCCTCTAAAAACCACAAATCCTACATTACTTACATAAACATTTTTCTATAGAACTTATATTATCTACTTTCATCTGGCTAAGGCTTTTTTTACATTATATTCCCTCTGTTAAACATGAAAATATGATGAGTTATAGACTAGTATAACAAGCTGGTAATTATATCTGCCTTGTCAGCTTGGCCAACATCTGCATCATGTCTATCACAAAATATGACTGCTTTCCTGACATTTGCATTTGTTCCACTCACCAATTGACCACTTCTACCATCTGCTTGCTCTATGCACAGACATTGTCATAGGGTCTGTTCCAGTCGCACTTCCTAACACCTCTTAACTCCTCCAAGATTGCTTCCCTGTTCCAGTGGCAGCTTTCGCCCCTACAAAGCCAAGAAGGGCCCTGCTCCAACCTCCTCTATCTTGCTCTTTGAGGAGTTTAGATGTGTTAGGAAGTGCGACTGGAACAGACCCATAGCAAAACAGTTTCATCTCCCTGAGTCTGTACTGTCTTTTTCCAGGTTTCCAATTCATCATTCATCAGCACAGAAGGGTGGGAAAGAGAAGGCTGTTCAAATTCTGAAAAGCCAGAGCTGCAAAGGAGGTCAAAGATGCAGTGCAGTTGTCCCACTCAGTAGAGTTTCACTAGTGGTTCTGATGTGGACTGAAGATTACACGCTGGATTGAAGTGGCCGGTCTGGAGCAGCTGTAGTTCATCATTCTTGCTGATTGTGGACGAGTAAGAGCCCGCGTTGGCCCCGATCGGCGATCGCTGGCCAAAGCCCACCACCAGTTTGGTGATAGGCGTTGGCTGTGATATCTAGTGTCGCCTATGTGTGAAAAGGACAAGTTGATAACAAAACCTGTTGCGCCATGTTATTAACCCGCGCCCGGGTGGCCCTCAGCCAACTTGGTGGGGGGGGGGGGGAGGTGTATTCGGCCACACCAGGTTATCTTGGAATGTAGCAAAGCTGGAAAGACTCAGTAAAATCAATCTATAGATCGCTATTTTTCTTCAGAATCATACAGGTCATTTTTGATCAGGTCATCGCTGAGGTCACTGGAGGTCACCAAAAGTAAAATGATGACGAATTTTGGCCCCCGATTTTGACAACTTCACACATTGGTTCATAATTTGGGAACCAAAGAAGCTACAGCGCCGCGGAAAAGCGAATTCGATAGCTCTTTCGAAAATCTTTCAGGTTCTCAGATTTGAGCTAAGGTCAACTAGGGTTAAGCCTCCAAAGGGCAAAAACTGAACAATCGGCTTGCTTCGGAAGTCGTCTTTTCTTTAAAAATTTTAAACTGATACCAACCTTTTATTACGTTGATTTTACCGGCACTGCGTTTCTCTCGTCTTCTTGGCCTAACAAGGTCAGCTTAATAAATTTGACCTCAGGTCAATGTCGCAGAAAATGCCATTTTGCATGTCATTGATTCGTTACATTGAAATTGAGATTAACATCAGTAGCGGTGGAATACCTTCAATTAAGGGGGCATTGCCGACTTTTGGTCTCATTCTTTCCATGCAACGCCCATAGGGCTAATGTTAAAATGCCAAAATCAAAGGGGGCACGGTGCCCCGGTGCCCTCGGCCTGTTCCGCCGCCTATGATTATGATGCTTTAAACGCTCTGGCCACGTTCCATCTAAAATCGATGTACAAAAATAAACTGTTGGGAGGCGTTACATGACCTAAGATGACCTCAGGAGCATACGATAGATCCCGATGTTTGAGTGCTTTTGTTTCAAAAGCAGAACATTTCGAGTTCCTCATACTGACTGAAACTGGAGACGTCGCAAAGTTGACCTGACCCTAGGTCACCACCGATATCAAAATTAAAGATATTCAAGATGTTGGTACTGATTCTCTCATGCAATAGCTCGAGTTTCAAACTTCTACTTCATGGTGACCTGACCTGACCTTAGGTGGCATGGGGTTACTTTTTCACAATTGATGCGAATCGATGCATTATACATAAGCTATACTAAGTTTCGTGTCGTTTTATCTATGCAAGCACAAAATTGTCAGGTGTGGCCAAAAACGCCCCCACGGCCCACCCACCTGGGGAACGTTAAAGCAGTGATGTATTTTTTCGGTGTATTCCACGATGCATGGATCGGTGTACTTGATAATGCATTATTTATTGCTGCGTGTTTACGCTTTTCCTCTGTTCAGTGTGATCTGTGATAGGAAAACTACCGATATATCTCCACGCGCATGACTGAAGGCGCTGGCGTGATCTATAATATTGGGTGTCTGTTTTTGTTTGGCATTTTATAAATAATGAGTCAGCTGTGATCGTTTGATGAGACACTGGGACAGCCGGCCTGTATGATCAGCGAACGGCAGGCGGCGGGGCAGTGGTCCGGTGGCTGCTGCATGGGACTGACACCAGCAGATTCAGAGCTGCGATACGCGGACGTTATGTTCACAATACCTTTGCAAAATAATATCTGATAGATATCATGTCCTCGAAAATGGTATTCAATCAATATGATTTTACCTCCTGGCTTATTCCATGGGGGCCGAAACCGATCGTTTTATGCACGCCTTTTCTGGGCCTCGTTCTCCTCTAAATGCGTGTAGGTAGCAATTTTATTCAAGGGAAGATTGAAAGTGCCTCCGATTGGTTTTCAGCGTAGGTGGGATATTGCCGTTGAATGTGAGGCAGTCGATAAGGAACGTCGAGCTGGAACGGTCATTGGGTAGGTACTAGGTAAGGTATGTGAAAGGCAGCAGTGGAAAACAGGGAAGGGAGGTGTTTGGTGTGAGGTTTCAAATGCTCTATGCATAAGAAAAGTTCATTTGATTATATGACACCGTCCTTTTTATCGCGATACGTGAGCAACGCATGAGACGCTCACTGTTCAGACTTGTAGCGTTAGAGACAGGCTGAGAAGGGCTATTTCCGCGAAAGGATGTTCTGGAATTTGAATTGAAAGGCATTTAGTTTTGAAAGCATCAGTACTTCTTAACACGAAACTGACTCATTTAAAATTTCAATTTTTCCCCATTGCGATAACATAAGAAACAGAGACTGCGGTGTCTCCGTACGCAGGATTCTGGAGACTGTCAGGCGGATGTTAGTAGCTAAAAGCTTTTGTTCTTTATTTAACAGATAACAATCATTTCTTTAAATACTTTGAACACCTAACTCACTAGAAACAATCTGTACGGGCTTCCAAAAATGTTATATTTAACATGTTAGATCCATTACAATATTTTAGCTGCCCTAACCTATAAATTTAACGGATGCGTCATTATTGAAAACGTGCTAAAGCATAGTATTCTATTGCTGACAATTATTCTGCGTCTGTCAGCCAAAACTGGCCAATCAGAGGCTTTGTTTGTCATTTCTGGGTGGGATTAATAAACATGCGGCCCGGAGCGCGGTCCGTTTGAAAGTTGCAGTTCAAGTTGAAACCAAAGTTGAAACAATGAAATAATATCTGGCTCTCTCTATCGTCTGGAGGTTTCGAAAGATGCTCTCCAGAGATGGCGCTAGTAAATTTGGCTGACATGACGTCATGCTAAAAAGTGATGGGTTTTGTGAGAGCAAATGTAATAATAGTTGAAAATTTTGTACTTTTGCTTAATTAAGAAAAAATAAATATACAATTGTTCAAAACAGCGTTTTCCTCATTCATCCTTCATTGTTTTTAGAGGAATATAGACAGTTTAAATATTTTTTCTTGACCGCAATTCGCACACGCACTAAATTAAAAGCTGGAGTTTTGTGCGTTCGTAAATCGTGATTTGAGAAAATAAGTTGACAATAATCTTTTGCACTTTTGCTTTACAATCATTTTTCAATGCAGATAAATGCATAAATTATTCGAAAATAGGCATATCTTTGAAATATTATGATTTTCCACAAGCAAATTTTCCCAAAAACTTGAACTACTTACAACTGACGAACGCATCCAATAATCTGGATGTCTTAGGATGAGTTCGTCATTTTTTCCCAAGGAAATACGATACAGTTCAAGCTATTTTACCGATTTATTAGGGTACTTTTGCCAATGAATTAATAAATAAATGACAACAATTAATCTCATTATCAACCATACTCGGAAGAATTTTCTTCGCATAAGCGCGAACACATCCGCGCTTTCATGAAAAGTCACGCCTGTAGATGTCAGGACTGCTGCTTTATGTTTCGCAAGGTGGCGCAGCGCGCAGGGTACCGACTACCGAGGCTGAGGTCTCCAGACTCTCCACCACGATTTAACTTGGAAATGGCCGATGGGGAAGGTCTAACCCAAAAACGGACGCCCTTTTACACAGCTGCATAAAGAGAATGAATTATTGGCATAGCTGACCACACGTCCCCTCCCCCTCTCCGCCCCAGCTCAATAGGAAATATCGCCTATTTTCCTTAGTCAGTTATATTCTGACTAATTTCTCACTCTTCCCAGTAAACCTTAACATGCATGATGCAGATGTCCACTGCGTAAGTCGTGTGCTTCCGTAAATGTGCCAACTATATAGTGTTGCCTACACTCTACAGTACAGCCTACTGCTTCCCCATTGTCGTTATAATTGGTGATTCTCAGGTCAAAAGTTACACAGTGGTCTCAGAGAACAATCGTTTCAACAAATTAACGATTCAAACCGTTGCATTCTACTTATATTCCGGTCAGTTCTGCTACTAAACGATTCCGGCAAAACACTCTTTAGGTTATGTATTAGCGAACCACCACACAAAATTCGCCCAATCAATGGTCAGTTATTACTGCTGGGCTGAACCGTCATACGCTATATAGCCTATTGCAGTCAATATTTTCAGAACGATACTGACTGACGAAACACAACGTATTCGCGGATTCGCACATTGACATACGTTGGCACCCAGGTGGCCTGTCAGCAGCCGCACAAATCCGCACAGCGCAGCCGGGATTTGACATTGAGATGGTACACCGTAAAGCATGCCTTTCCACACAGGCACAAGCACAGGGACACAAATTCTCAAAATCCAAACTTATTCCAATACTGGTCAATTACGAATAGGCATAAAGTTTTGAGGTTTTCTCATGTTCATTCTTCTTTCAACACACGCGGCAGACTGCAGCAGCTGCAGAACATCTCACAGAGCTGCGCTGGATGCAGTCATGAGCTGGGACACGGTTTGTGACCAATGACCGATCGGGGGTGCCAGCCTCATCCCGGCACGCGATGCACTGGCCGCCGCGCAGTCGATGTCGGGGCACCGCCGGCATTCGCCGACAGGGTTCCATCCGATTCGGTGTATTGGTGGCAGCCCGAACAGTGACCCACGCGAAGCTGGCGGACGTCGATGGCCGATGAGCGATGCCCTTCCGCGACCGGCGGTGGCAGTCGGTCCCACATCAAGAACAGATACCAGTCATGCGGTCAGTCGGCGACGGCGCTGTCGCGAGCCGATCTGATGGTCGCGCGGTGGGCGTTGCCGACGTCCACCGGGACCGTCGACTGGGGGAGCGCGGCCGCCTCTTGGCCGCCGCCTCTGGTCGGCGCGCTCGTTGCGCTGTGGGACGGCATCCACTGCAAGTCGTTCACTGTGAAGCGGTCGTTTGACCGGACCTGGCAGGCGGGGAAAGGGGGCCTCAGATGAAGTAAAACCATCCCTCAGGCCAGCTTGAACTGGCTCTCCACCTCACCATGTTAGATAAGCAGACACCCTCGTGATCATCGCAGCGATGATTGCCAATTGGTGTGTCATTATGGGAGAGGATGCCAGCCTCCTTTGCAAGATAGTCTGCCTTTAAATTAGTGCAGCCCGACCCATTGCCTGTGGCGCAGACTGGGCTTGATAATGCAGTGCAGGACACACCAAACGTAAGCTGCCATCTGTACCCCCTGTGCAGTAGGGCTGACTCAAGAGCCCAGAGTTGCCCTCCCCCCACCATTCTGTGCACGTGATAACTGGATGGGACATGCCATGGTCAGCATCTGTTCAAAAGCTGCCCTAAGCATGTAAAGCTCCACTGGCATGCTCAAGCATGGTCACAGTCAGTTCTCACTTCTCAGTTGAACCTCCAATGGAAACCCATCACAAAGTAGAGATCAGGGCGCCTCTCACACTGCAGCACACTCAACGACTGAGGCACCATCTCATCACTTGCAGGTGGTTCTTGCCAGGAGCAATGCCAGCCACGCACATCAGGTGATAACAGCAGTGTACAACTGCAATCTACAAGCATCCATGTTCTTTCTGGTTTTCTCCTGTTGAGATCCACTGCCATGCATGAACTTGATGGGCTTTTGTTGCGCTCCTCCCATGTGCAGACAGGTTTCTGCTGAAACAAAGCAGAGCAAATGTGATTAATAATGGCCCTGTTTCACCATCCAGACACTGTGTGCACTGGTAGCTACGGCATACCATAGCATCACTCAAATGACGTTGCATGTGATCTCTTAGTTTATGATCAATCGCATATGGAACAGAGTGAGAGGTTCTGAAAAACCGTACCAAGAACAGAGGTTTGAGTTCAAATACTGCTAGCATGCTGCTGGTGCTGGTACCGCAGCGTGCTAGCGTTCTGGGATGCTGTCATAGCTTAGCATCACAGTGAAGTTTGTTGACACTGCCATGGAAACCCAATGCTCTGACACACGCAGCGCACTGCAGTGCACTGCAGTGCTGAGCACTGCAGTGCGTGCTCTGCTGTGAAACACCACCCATGAACGTTGGTTGCATGACCAGGATGGAGCAGTGTGGCAGACAGTGATTTTAATTTTAATTGCACTTCCTAGAGATTAAAATGTTGTTGGTGAAATTGCTATTCATTATTCCTATTACCATTGTCTAAACTTCACATTTCAAGACAGCATCAGCATTGACATGTTATATAAAATAAGGTTTAGACTTCAGGTGGTCCCGGGTTCAGCTATTAAGTAAAACAAGGGCAAAAAATTGTCAAAAAAATATTTTAAAAAAATACCTGCTTTCATCAACACTTCATCTAATCTAACCTCATCCTCAAAGCAAACACCGTTTGAATAACAATGTAATATTTTGCAACCGCTGCACCATTACTGTCACGTACGCTATCCCTAGATTGGTTGCTGGTAAGTAGTGGTTGTCGTCATCAACTCGTCATGCAGCAGCTGATTGGGATGGGCGGGGCCTATTTTTATCCAGGCGATAGAGAGAGCCTAATATCTGCATTCTTCCGGCGCTTATTCCATGATAGTTATAATTCTGTATGTAAAATATACCTCAAGCATGCCGACCTGTACGGTCATAAAGTAATGTGACTAGACGTTTATACTTGTGCTGTGCATACTGAAGCAAAGCAGTATTGGTATATC